ACCCCCCCTACCCTAAACCCTAAACCCCCTAGCCCTAATCATCGTCAGAGAAGCCTGGCCTGTCGCCTGGTAGTGTCAAAACATGTCGCAAGGCCTCGAGCTGCTGGATGGTTGAGGGGCTTATACTATCGGGGTACCACAGCAGTTACCAAAAAACATCAAAAACCATTATCCGGCATATTGTAGTCGAACTGAGCTCAGTGCCAGAGCCAAGCGACTTTGGCTTTCAGGATTTTATTTTGCGCATACCGTGCCCCACAATGTGCTCTGAAACGGTGTAGCTATCAATGTCCTCGGCTGTGTGTGTCTAGAGCTAGCAAGAGCTGGCCCACTTTGCTGTGCTGGCTCTCAACGCGGACTGTGCTCTGTTCGGACCCAGAGAAACTATCAATATGTTGATTTTGAGAACCAGCGATTCTAACATAGCCCACGAGCGGAGATCAGAACATTTGGTGATTGCATGTTGGCAAGGCTTTTGATTCGCTCCAGGGTTTGTTCATGCCGTTGCTCTTGGCAGTGCTGCGGCCCTTGTTGTGACTGCTGATGATACTGCCGTTGTTGTGGGTATTGGCTTTGGTGTTGCTGTGAATGCTGTTGCGTCGGCATTTAGAAGACGGTTATGTCTCGTTTCTGTCGCCTTGTCTTACTTTGCTAGGTTCGCGTTTCATTACCGTGTTCAGTTCTTCTGCGATCTCACCATTGCTGGTTTTTGGAATCTGAACTGTGATCTCGAGCTGTGCGCTATTCTGACACTGCAGCAAGGAATGCCACTTTATGACTTTATCACACTGCGATTTCAACCTTATGCTCTTTGGTAGCAGTGAACAAGTTGTGGTGATATTGCTGAACGCCTGCCTTTTGCTAGCAGTGGCGGACGTGATGTTGTCGGGGAGTGACTTGCTGCTGCTGTAGGCCTGCAGCAGCACACCAATAATTCATCCATCCGTGCTTATGCGTGCACATATGCAGATAAACCAGTGAAGAGATAGAACACCTACCCACCTACCCACCCTCCCACACATACACACACACACATTTCAGCAACTCGCTCTTCGTCACTTCCGCTCTCTCGCAATCTCTCGCTGTGATGTCATCCTGCTCTCTCTCTCTCTCTCTCTCTCTCTCTCTCTCTCTCACTCTCTCACGCTCTTTCGCGTGCGTTAATAGTGTGTTACTCATGCTCCCGTTGTAGTTTTTCAGGATACGGCAGTGAAAGCCAAGAAAGCTACATGTTTCAACGTCTGCCGAGTACGTCTGGCTTAGGCAACAGAGAGAGGAAGACTTCAGCAAACTAGACTCGAACTCACAACCCCTTACCGAAAAGAGGCCGAGTATTTTCTGGCAGCTCAAGGCGATAACTGAAAAAGCCAGACAGCGAGTCTCACAGGAAGCCGCCGCAGTTGACAAGCTTGGCAGGTGGCAGGTTCACTCGGCATGTGCCCTACATTGAATTATATATGGGTCCGAAAGGCTTTGTCTCAATTCCAGGCACTCAACCCAATCCCCGAAGCCCTGACCCCTAAGTACTAAGCCCTTGCCAAAGTGACCGCGAATATAGGCGCAGGAAAGCGCTTGGTCCGACGTGCAGGCGACGCCGAATAAAGCATGAGTTTAGGCTTTCCGCGATTTCGTACTTCTCGAGTGTATTTAGCAGGTTTGCGGTGCCGGCTGCCGGGTTGAAGCCCTGGGCGACGTCACTCTACATTTGGGTCTCTTCTTTCTGCTACTTCCTTACGACTCGCACATGTTTACCCGTTCTGCGCCACTATATCCGACGATCTTTTGGCTCAAGGCCTAACAAAAGGGTCTGTTTCTCCGCACCACTCACCGCAGACTGGCCCCTTGGATGCAAGGTCTGCATCTTTCGGTAATCGTTTGGACTTAGGGTGTTGGTGATGCGTATAGGCTTGACGAGTCCCAGAATCAGCGACCTTGGACATTCGTTATTGTCGCAATAGTTATACCCTGCCACTGGCACGCACAGCCGCCATAAGTTGGACCCGGACTGCGCGGAGGGATAGCAGGGGAAGATTAAACTCTGCAGCCGAAGATGTTGAGGTACTCAAGAATTACCAGCTTCAAACGCGCACACACACACACAGACAGACAGGAGCATGCACAAGCAGTTTGCAAGCGCGCACACACAGATACATATATATATATATATATATACATACACACACAACATGTATATTTGTGTTTAGACGTCTGCCTTCTCACCTGACTATTCACATTCCTTGGCGCTTGCCGGTGGCTTCTGCTGGAATCTGCTAGCGGTAACAAGGAATGTCAAGCCCAGCATGGAGTCTTCAGAGTTTTGCCTCCTGATTCGGAGCCTTCAAGCAATTTCTCAGTCTGCAAGATGAGGCTGGGAGAGGGCGGAGGACATTGAGAGGTCAGTCTACGTCAGGCTCTTCCGGCGGGCAAGAGCAGAGGGAGATACATCACAGATCATCAGACCTTCCTGGTTTGATATTGTTGTGGATACCCTTTGAGGTTAAAACACTAGCTAGGGGTCTTCTTGAGTTGCTTCGTGAATGTTGTTCAGAACCTGTGAGACGAGCCTTAGAGACCTTGTTCCAACGATCACGGTTCAGGTGAAGCCAGATAAGAGCCCTGTGAAGCTCTCTGTCGAGTATTTAGATTAAAGTAAATGGCGTGTTGGAGTGTGGGCACCGCGTCTTCGTAAGACCTTTTCTGGCTTCCAGGTGAAACTTAATGGGTCATTGGGAGAAGGGCTTTAGGCTTTGGCTGCAACCGTTTGAGTTAGGGTCTAGGTCAAAATCATGTAATTAGGGGTAATGTGATGGTTAGGGTTTCCAATCTTTCTCAAAGTCAAGATCCGGCATCCTGCACCCCAAGTCGTGCTTTAGGGACACCACCTTGGATGCAGAGCTATCGACCACAAGCAATGAAACCACTGTGTCCAAAGAAAGGCCATGAGCTGTCGAACCGTGGCACAACTCCTAACGGCAAGTGACTGAGCACAAACATGTCTGTTCCTACAGCTCCAAGCCCATGTTTCACGAGATTTTGGAATCCGAACCACTATCAGCCCCCACAGATCCAAGACAGCTGCAAGCAGGTATTCAGTTCCTCACATGTTAGCCATAAGCCTACATCTTCCAAAACTGAAGCGAGGCGTCGGTGCTTTCGGATTTTGCGGGTAGCTCTCTGTTCGAAGGTACAGTCGCAGGCCCTCCCCCGGGGGTGCTGCCCTCAGCCTCGTCGGGGCGGAGGGGATCTTCTGCCTCGTTTCCGGGTAGCTGAATAAGCGCAATCTCTGAAGACTAGTATAGGGTTGTGGGGGCTCCAAATTCGGATTCTACTAGTAGTATATTTATAAAAGTCTACCCCAAAACTCTAGTCTAACTATTAAGGCCCCCATATTTCTGAAGCCCGAAGCAAAGGCCTCGGGTGTTCTCTGGAGATTCTTCGGATCGGAGGGCGGTGGGCTTAGCTCCGCTCTCTTCACTCTGTGCCCAAACCCTAAATTCGAAGGGTTTGGGGTTTACCTATAGTCTGTATTGTAGTTCCTTCTTTCGGTTTAACCAGTTCTATATTAAGGATCCTACTCTACATTCGACAGGATTTTTATCAGCGGGCACAATAGTGCGAGGTGTGCAAGGTAAATTCGGCGAAAGTCGAAGCGTGTGGGGTTTAGGGTAAGGCACGTCAGCGGTGGGATGCTGAAGCTCCTGGGGGTCGAGGGTCTTGCATGTTGGGGTTCGAGAGGGGTTCGTTGGTTTTTGGGGTCTTTGGGCTGGGTTGGACCTAAAACTAGTCTTCTGCTTTGAAGCACAGGAAGAGACGCTCTGTACCAGACCATTCCGATACGGCAGTTATGTCTGTAAGGGCCGACCCTTTTGCCCCTATGAGGGCACCAGGCATGTGTTGGTCGGCTTGTTTCGTTCTCGTGGCCACTTCACTTGCAGAGCATGATCATTGCTACTGCTTTTCAAGGTCGGAGAGTTGGAGTCAAGTTGGATCAAGTTGGATGCGGGCTACAGATTAAATCACGTTCCGCACGTGGACCACACACTATGAGTGATGCCAGCCCCACCCACAACTGCCAACGTTCTAAAACCGTAGATCGTGCTTTGAAAGGCGTAGGAGCCGTCTTGGTAAGAGGAGCTGCTGAGCTGCTGAGGATCCGGACCCTGCCCTGTTGCTTTCAAGTGAATGAGCTCCCGACTACAGACAGCGTGGGTAGGGATACTACTATCAACAGTCATATCCATGGCGCGGGCATAGTGAGACTTGCGAGAACGCCACGAACATTCCCCTGGCACATCCTTCACCCTTCTGAGCCCTTTGCGCGCAGGCCTGCCAACTTGTTGACCGCCATTCCCACTACAGAAGACGGCCACGCTCTCAGGGGGTTGCAGACGCGCAGGCAGCATTGTGCGACAACAGCCCCACCAACAAAGAACGCCGATGGCAATTTTAATCATATGGGTTATATCAGAAGGAGGCATTGAATGTACCAACACTGATGACAATAAGTTAGCAGATACCATTTCCATTTTCTAACCATGCCCACCCCCCTAGGCCACCCAAAGACCCAAAACCATAACAACCTATACCTCAACCTTCAACCCATTCAAGACCCATAGGTAGAACCCTAGGAAAGACCCACCTGAAGACCCAAAACCATAACAACCTATACCTCAACCCTAACCTCACCAAAATACTCATAGGAAAAACCCATATGATGGAACCATTAGAAGAACCATAGGTCACCACATAGAATAACAACATACTCAAACCCATACACTAATACCCTCATAGAAAAACCCGATAGTATCAACCCGAAATCCCTAGCCTTAGAAAATGGAAATGGTCTTCTTAAATGATTTTACAATAACAGGAATAAGGTTTAGGGTTAAGGTCGCGCAACATCAGAACCGCCATCATGCTGAGGTTCGCTCAAGACCAGCAGGCAATCGCACAATCACAGACAACATGCACACATCAAACAGTTTGATTTTGTAGACAGAATGGTTCGCCGCATTCTGCGTCGACATGGCACCTTTCGTCGAGCCGTGCTGATATGGTCGTTGGTTTCCGGAGTGGCGTGGGTTACGGCTTGGAGCAGGCGGGCCTTTTCCCTAGCGCGACCGGAACTACCAAATTGGCCGGCCAAATTGAACAAGGCAGAGAACGATTATGATGAAGCGAAGCAAAAATTGGAGGCTGAATTTCAGAAAGAGCCCCAACAGCGAGACCAACAACGCATCGAGTTCCTACAGAAGGCTATGCAGAACGCGCAGAAGCGCTTAGAGTTTGCCCAGCAGATGCTCCTGCAGGCGCAGTCGCCACCATCCGAGGCGCAACAGGGTCAAAAATACACCGTTTTTCCGCCGTAGGGTTACTTAGTTCGCCTAGGTGTTTGTTCCTTGCTAGGTTCTATGCTTAAGTTTTTGGGTGTTTTAGGATGTTCGTTCTTGTGTTGCGAGGCCAAGATCACGGAGGATGTCATCGACCAGAAGATTAAGGACAAGGAGTGGCGCTTGCCAGAGAACCCAGATGTCAGTCCCCTTTTCAACAGAGAGAAAGAATTGGAGCAGGTTCAGAATTACATTGCCAATCCATTCGCTTTTGCCAACAAGGATGGTCTGTTCAACCTGCTGGGCACATCTGGAATGAAGGGCATCGGGAAGACCCAGTTGCTATTGAACTCTTTGCAGGCTGTGGAGAACCTGTCGAACACCAAAGCTGTGTACTTCACCTTCAACAGACATGGTGATCTGAAAGAGAAGTTTCAAGAATCGCGTCGACAAGGGCATGATCATGCTAAGGCATTGGGTCATGCAATCCTCACTGCGTGCTATGTGCCCGAAGAGTTGGCCATGACATGCAATTTGGACGAATGCCTCGGCATAGTTCGGAAGCTCGTGTCCGCAAGCAGTGACGAGCGACTGGTCATTTTCATCGATGAGCTTGGTCTGCTCGATGCATATGAAAAAAAACCAGTGGTTGTGCCAGTTCTTCAATCCTTGATGCGACAGATGGACAAGCAAAAGGGCAAACTCGTTTTTGTTTTCTCGCATCTTCTTGAAGAGATGTTGAAGCGTGGGGCAACTGACGCGAGTGGTCGCAAGATTGATGGAATACCTTTGGTTGCTTTGGCCATTGACATCTGGAGAACGAACCCCGACTTCAGCGAATGGGCAGAAGCGGCGCGCAAGCACTCTGGTGTTCATCAGTTGTTGCTGTCCTGCACTGGTCATCCCCGTTGTCTCTTCGAGGGCTTGAGGGTAGTTGAGGACTTGTGTAAGTCGCCACCTCAGACGGCAACCGCTTTCGAACGAGCTCGACAGCAAATTATCAACGAGTGCAAGTTCGATGGCATGGAATACACACTTGAAGAAAGCATGTTGATGCAATGGTTCAGTCCGCTGGAGCAGATGAACGAGACTGCCCTCGACCGTGCCGGCTTGCTGGTTCGTGTAAAGACAGGTCTTGGCAAGGAAACGGCAAGCTTCCTCCATCCTCTCGTTCTGAGCTGTTGGGCACAAAAACAAAAAGTCCTCACGCCTCGCTACGCACCTGTGCCATGCCTACGAGTTCGATGCCGAACTTGCAGAAGGTTCAGAGAAGCGTATGGAAGGGCTCATGTTCCACTATGAGGCGGTGCTTCGGATTGCACTGGATGGCAAACCCATCGCGCTGAACAAGTTCTACACCACCCACTATATCGGGACGAAGTTCAAGAGGATGCGGGGGCTCGTGGCAGCACTCCCGACTGACGGGGGCAATATCATTGAGTTTGTGCAGGACTTTATTGAGATTGATGCAGTCATAAAATTGCTGGAGGAGGGCGTCACGATAGTCTCGCAGAAGCAGTCCGAAGAAGGCGTGGAGTATCTCACGCCGTGGCGGCTGAATGATGCGGAAGGCAAGCTCGTGGTTGCCTGTGTCCAATGCAAGTTTGTGAAAGACAAGGTCCCGTGGAGCAATGTCAAGAAGCACATGCACTCTGCCGTGGAACCCCTGAAGCAGAAGAAGATAGAGGTTTTCCCAGTGATTTATGCCACGCCTGACCAGGGCACCATCCAGGAAAACACTTACAAAGATGGTGTCTACTTTAACGAGGTCAGCATTTTCAAATTCACGAGCAAGTTGGGCATTCTTCGGCTTCACACTGAGAAACTCGGCAAGAGCCTGCAGAAGGAAGTGCCCGTGCTCAACCGCTCCAGAAGCGAGGTTGCAGATGAGACAGGCATCTTCGCTATGAGTTCGAATACAAGTTTCACCGAAGATCAGACACAGCACGTGCGAAAAACAATCAGGTTCCACGGTTTCAGTGATTTTTTGGAGTAGTCGGGGCAGAACTTGAGAATATTCCCAGCGGAATTTCTTCAGCAGTCAGGGTAGAATTTGTAAATATTCCGAGTGGAATTTGTTCAGCGGTCGGGGTAGAATTTGTAAGTATTCCGAGTGGAATTTGTTCAGCAGTCAGGGTGGAATTAGTGTGAAGGTTTTGGGCTTTAGGTGGTTTCCACGAGTCCTTATGCTTTCAGCAACTCAAACCGCCAATACTGCCTATTATTGCCCTCAACTCTGTAATAATTTTGACCTAACTGTTTGAAAAAATGAATGAACAAAATCTAACTGGGATTAATACTAAGATGGGCAGTTTAATGACTGCTAAGACTAAACCATATAAAACATTAACAGAAAATGAGCTGATACAGGAAATATTTGTGCATCACATATCCGAAAACGTGATCGAGATTCGCTCAGATGGTGCGGTTGTCTATGATTAAGTGTATGAAAAAATCATAAAATACTAGACTAGAAGGAAATAACATTTTATAGTATATTATGGTAGAAAATAACAAAAAAAGTTATGAAAATGGTAGAATTTATTGTATCAGAAATTCAGTAAGCGATGATATATATATATATATATGTTGGTTGTACAACTCAACCATTAAGCAAACGATTTCAAAAGCATAAGGAAACTATAAACAGTAAGCGAGATGGAAACATGTTCATATACCAGAAGATGAGAGAAATAGGAAAGCAACGCTTTTACATTGAATTATATGAAGAATACCCATGCGAAAATATTGAACAATTAAGAAAATGCGAGGGTGAAATTAGAAGAGAATTAACCATCATTGAACAAACGAATTGAAGACAGAACAACGAAGGAATATAGACAAGACAACAAAGAAAAACTACAAATGTGGAACAAGCAATACAGAGAAGAGCGTAAAGAAGAACTCAAAAATATAGAGTAGAAAATAAAGAAACCATAACCGAGAAGAAGAAAGAACATTATGAAAACAACAAAGAACATTACAAACAGTATAGAGAATAGAATAAGGACAGAATAAGTAATAACAACAGAAAATACTACCAAGGCAACAGAGACAAAGAAATTGAAAAAGCAAGACTGTATAGAGAGAGCAACAAAGCAAAGTTTAAAGAGAAAATGACATGTAAATGTGGTTCTACCGTTAGAATCAAAGATATTCGGAAACATGAAAGAAGTAAAAAACATCAAGCCTACGAACAATCAGTTAGCGATTAATATTAATATTATTTTCTATATAATATTAATATTAATATTAATGAATAATCAGTCCATAACATTAGACGGGTCGCGTGTAGTTTATGCTACCGAGTTTATTACAGTTAGTGAGACTGGCACGTCATCACCACAACAGGATTATGCCACAATAACATATGTAGATAATGAAATATCAAGCATTAACGTCGGTTCTGGCGGTGGAATAACACAACAACAACTAGATGATGCGGTAAATCCGATTATTGCTTATAACACTGGTCAAGATTTAGTAATTACCGATAATAATAGTAATTTAGCAAATAATTTTCAAACAACAACCCAGCTCAATTCTAATTTTTACAATAAGACAGAGGTAGATACTGCTAGTGCCGTTGTAGATGGTAAAGCACTTACTAATTTCAATGGTATTAACGCTATTAATACAAATTTAACAAATAACTATAAAAACAATACACAACTGGACAATGATTATTACACGAAGACCCAAATAGATGCTAACAACTGGATTGATAAGACAGCATTATCACCATACGCCACAACAGCAACACTACCAAACAAATAGTCAGTTAGCAAACAACTACTATAATAAGGGCGGGGTAGATACATTAGTAGCAGGAGCAGGTGGCGGTGTCAGTAATCCAATAGAATTAGTAGATGCTAATACAAGCATTGAAAGATATACGGACGCTACAAAATCAAATGTTTCCTTAGATTTACCAATAAATGAAACGACAAGTGCTATACGACTAATCAACGGAACTAATGACGATACTGATACAAATACATATATTGAATGTACCAATACAACAAACGGAACAACATTTTTTAAGCAAGTATTTTCAAATGAAGCAGTAATTTTCAATAACGATACTGTATTTTTACCAGTATCTGCCAATGGTATTCAATTATGGAGGATACCCAATAACACCGACCCGACATTACGAATTAGGCACGGAACAGCGCAGTGGATATATGTTAATAACAATTTGAAATGCACTAACGCTAATACAGAAGATGGGAATATTATGGTTTAAACGATAATAGCACAGTTAATAATTCTAATAGAATGAGATTAGGAAGTTTAACAAGCGCGGAAGTAGGAATAGGCAAAGCAAACGAAAGCGGTTATTTTTTATCGGTTGGAGGTGCCACGAAAGTAGATAGTTTAGAAGTTGATAATAATGTTACAATGAATGGTGATACAAAAACTTCAACAAATGGTAATGGTATTGAAGTAATTAAAAGTACAACAGACGCAAGCAATGTTTTAACAGTGAAAAACGCACAAGGATGTATTAAAATGCATAGTTTTAATATTAATGCTTATAATACTTGTAACAATAGTCAGTCGTTATTGTTATTGAATACCGCTACAGCAGGAGGAGCGGTATATTGTAATAATTTAGGAATTGGAGCAATAGCAGGAGGAGCAACGAGACTAAATGTAGCGGGAGGAGATAGTGCTAATTTTAGTGGTGATTGTAATTTTAATGGTTCTAATAATACATTTAACAATAATATTTTAGTCAATAGTAGAGGTAGAATATATCAACAGTCAAATGCTAATTTTTCATTAAATTTCATTTCAACAATAGAACAAAACTTTTCAATACAATCTAATGGAAGTGCCGACCCACAAACAAGTGAAATATTCATAAATTTGAATGATACAGCAGGTATTACATTAAATAAGGCGACTACGTGTAATGAGACCGTTAATGTAGTCGGCAAATTAACAGCAGAGGGAGAATTTGATGTAGATGTTAATTTTACAGGAACACCAGAATTTAGAGTGTTAGGCAATGCCGTTAATTTAATTGAAAGATTTAGTATAACTCATAATACATCGGCAGGGAATGTAGAACAAATCTATTTAAGGAACCCAGACACCGACGGGGAAACGATTATAGAAATAGGAACTAAAGATGTCTTCAAAGTTGAAACCGCTAAGATAGTTGTTGATGGTGATGTTGAATATACCGGAAGTTTAATACCTTCGTCCGATGAAAGGTTAAAGAAGGACATTAAAGAATTGGATAGAAAAAAAGCAGTTGATTTAGTTAAATACATCGTTCCGAAAACTTACCGTTTTATTGATGGCAGACAGCAAAGTAAATCCTGTTGCGGTTTTATCGCTAATGACTTTATGAATGCCTAAGAAGATGCCGAAAGAATGGCAGAACATAGTAAAGGAGGGAACAGACGGATATTTAAAATTTGATTATACAATGACCACTCCCCTGCTTTGGTCTGCTTTACAACATACAATTAAAGAAAACGAGGAAATGAAAGATTTATTCAGAGCAATGAAAAAGGAAATGAAGGAAATGACCACCCTTAAAGGAGAAATAACAAAGTTGAAGAAGAAAGTAAAAAATAATAGCGATAGCGATTAATATAATATAAGCTATTGTATATGAGTGAGTTTGAAAATCAGTATAAAGTGTGTATGGAACTAATAAAACAGAAAAGTAGGGAAGTATCCGAAACCGATATATTATTAACTGCGATGAAAGACCTACTAGATAAGTTAGAAATGGAAGAGTAGAAGGTAGAAGCATTAAAACAGAAAAGGCGATGCCCTTGTTTCAATTTTAGTTCTTTACATTGTTGCCCTGTATCATTATTTTAGTGATAATTAATAATATAAACATAAAATATTCTTAATTATTATCAATTTCAAAACGCTGTTGGAAGTTTATGAAAAACATATTATTAACATCCTTGGCGTTGGTGTTTATGTAGAAGAACGAGTAAGGAGCAAAATTAACGGCCTGTTGATACATATCATATAGTGTTTTCTTATCAACTAGCGCGCTGTTTTCTTCTAGGAAGCTATTAACTTCATTCATATTCTTCAACCTGAATATAAACAAAGCACTAGCATTTAAGCGAATTATCGGTGCTAATACATTGTATTTTTGGGTAGATAAAATACACGAGATGGCGTTATGTCTTCCACGAGTAAATAAACCGTGAAGAATGCTTGAGTATCTTACAAATTTAGGGTCATCTGCGAAATCATCAACAACTATCAAGATGCTAAACAAATCCTTTTGTTTATTCTTCTTCTGAAAATCAATGACTTTATGCTGTGTTTCTATTAACTTCTTCAATGCTATTGGGTCGTATTCTTCACAATAAACCTGCTCCTTTTCAGTATCAACCTTCATTACATCGGTTATATATTTCTTAACGGGCGTCCATGTGTCATCAACATTAACGGTCGGTGAGAAAATGTAAATCCTTTCAAAGGAGTTTCGGTAGATGTTTAATATTAAGTTTTGGATAAGCACCGTGTTGCCTCCCGTAGAAGATGCCACGCATAGCATCCTAGCGGGTAGGTTGGGCATCATTCCATATTTAGAGTTTTTGTATTTGTATTCGGGTATGTCTATTGGTTCTACGGTTGGGGTTGTTTCACTCATAATTATTATTAATTAGAAAATATATGATTTAAATATATAATGAATGAAAACTATGGTACTTATATTGAAACGATAAACGGCCTAGAAGTAGTAGAAGCGCAGGTAATAAAAGATAGCAAGGTAAAACGATGTTGCTATTTATCATTAGAGTTTGTAAAAGCAGTTATTATTTGCTTGAAAAATGTTAAAAAATCTAAATAGTATAAATGAGCGATATAACAGAAAGCGAAAAGAAGAAAGGGTTTTTCATAAACGCTAATGGTATATCATGTATCCCTTGTAGATGTAAAAGACAGTCTTATCATAAGGAGACTAAAACAACAAAAGAAAACAACATAGTTACGACAAATGTT